CAACCTAACGCATTGTATAGCGGAACAAAACAAACACACCACCAGGCATATACTGTGAAGTGTGGTGCAATGCATTTTGAATGTTCATGCACACTTTTAGGGCTCATTCACACAGGTACATGTCCCGTGCAGGGCCATCTTTTACGGTCATGGAGATGCATGATAAATTCTGTATTTGGCTTATGCTCAAATCCAGTAAAGCATGCGCTACTGTTTGATAGAAATAAAGTGTATGTCCAGCCAAAAAGTTATTTTATATATTCTTAGATAGAATATGGAAGGGTTAGAATCCCTATTTTTACTGCCACCCAGGGCTCCATTAGAGAGATTTACCCTCACTTCTTGTTCTGCCAACAACAGTTTACCAGACATTAAGTGAAGGGATCTATCCAATGGCAGCCCAGACAGAAATACACTTTGCTTAGGAGTAGGGGGAAGACTATACCCTCTGTCAGATTTGTATTTCTGTCTGTGTCCCTGTTGCAGATTTTTAACTCCTGTCTGGTGGAAAGGTTTTCAGCAGGACAGGAGTGAAGGTAAATCTCTCTAACAAAGCCTCAGATAGCAGTTAAAACCAGACAGAGGTCCTGAGTCTTCCCCACTGTATCCAAAACTGGTTTTGGCTTGACGTAACACCCCCCCCCCTTTAAAAAGCTTTCCACACTAAATAAATGTATTTAGAGAAACCAATAAACTTACAAATAGGAACATGTTTCTTATTTCTTTATTAGGCTACTCCTGTCCCACATGTCCTATAGTCCTGGGCTCCAAGATCATCTGGTGAGCTCATTGATCAATAACAGGCCATACCAGGTCTCAACTGGTACATCTGCCACATTGGGCTACGGCTCCCCTTCCCAGGGGACAAACGAGAGACACTGACTACATCACCAGAACCTACTGAAAAGTAGAAAGTGAAAAAATGTAAGTTAACAAAAATCTGATTATACAAATGGATTTAGGATGTACATGCACCATGAATTTTTTGCGTCTGAGGGGTAAATATCCTCTTTAAACCGATTAATAAATAGCACATGCTTCCCCACATTTGAGTACTGAGAAAACTGGAAATAATGTTTTTGGCTTATATTTTAATTAATCATTAGTTTTTTTATGAGCTGTTCATAAATATCTACATATTCCATAGCTGTAGAAATGATATGAACTGTGACCATATAAAACCAGTACTGATGGACATCCTCAGGCCCAGAGTGGGAAAAAGCACAGGTTTGCTTTAAGTCCAAACTAATTTGGAAAAAGTCTTGGCATGGGCCCACCGACACTAACATCTCCTCTCAGCCGATATCTAATTGGATACCAGTCAGTCAGCATGGAAAATCCCTTGAGAGCCGCACTGAATGCTATGTGTATTTATTGTGGAAGCATTCTTTTGTCTCCTCAAATACTCTGCTGTTTGATAGGGGGTGCTGCATTGTGCAGATCTAGCCATACGTGCAAGTTTAATTGATGTGTGCATGTATGGCCAGCTTTACTTCTTACCGTTCTGTATATATCTAGCAAAAAAAGCATATCTAAATCCAAAAACAAAAATGTAATATACTCTAGCTTAGCCATCCTTTGATGTGGCTGCTGCATTAGTATTTTCTTCAAGCTAAGTACATTTTCTGCAGAAGTACAGAAATGACCAGTTGATCCTGCTAGAAATCCAGTGTTCTTGTTACTTTCTGCATATTGATCTGAAACCTCCAGCTATGGGAACAGTTTTCCCAGCTATAAAATACTCAACAACCTCATAAAATGGAAATGGGAAAGTGTTTGTAGTTCAAATCAGGATAGTGCCCTAAGGGGAGAACTGTGAGTGAACGTTATCACCATAGGACAGGAAGTGTGTTACTGGCAGGATCACAGGGTGAAAATAAAGACCCCCTACTTACTGTATAGCTTATTATTTTAACCAAAGTGAAGCTTGATTTTGAGGTTAGGTCTGCTTAAAGTGTATGTAAACCCTGACAATGAACTTCTCTTATTTGCTCCCCTTTGCTCTGTTTAATACACCACTGGAAGCATTTCATTATATCTGTTTAATATGAAGAAAGGAAAAAAAATAAATAAATCTCCTAGTTCCTATCTTGGACTGATTAGCCTTTTGGTTATAGAGATCTGAGAGTGGAAGTGGTTGAGTGGTTCAGCAAAAAGACACAGGGCAGGCCTGACACCACTCAGTCTACAAACATGCTGTGGATGGCGATGTCAGCCCATAACAGAACTTAGGAGCAGAGTGCATTTCTTGAAGATCAACAGGTATTTTTTAGTACCTTCAGGGTGTCTAAGGGGATAAAACATGGATAAATGTGCATTTTGTTTGAATCAAGTGTAGAGACTAGAACTCCTGTCAATTTTTTATTGCCGTCTGTGCCTCCATTACGGAGATTCACCCTATTTATCATGTTTACCATCATCATCGAGAGTGAAAATGAAAGAAAATCCCAAATTTTGGTTTGTCAACAGAACAGTATTACTAGTTCTGTTGACCCTGGTGGCAACCAGGGACTCCCTCACTTTAGAGGGATTTCCTCTTACTTCCTGTTTTGGTTATAGAACAGGTAATGAAGAGAAATCTCTTCAATAAGACACAGATGGCAAGAAAACAACTGGAAAGGGTTCTAACCCTCCTCTACTCTATCCAAAATGATAGTACTGATAAGAGTTCCACTTTAAAGTGTTACTAAACTCACAACAGTAAAATCAGTCTGTATATGCAGTAAATCATGCTTATTACACTCACTATGGAACCAAAGGGATTAATCCTCTGCATTGTGTAAAAAAGGCGGTTTGATCCTGTCTTCTCTGATCATCCCCTTCTTCTGCTGTCCCCCAGTCCATCTGCTGATAGAACAGAGCTTTGGGGGCAAGCTGCACATGCGCAGTTTGGTGTGTATAGCTGGGGAGTTTTTTTTTCTTGGGAGAGTCCATTGTGATCAGCACAAGGCCAATTAGTGATGTTCAGGCAGAGGTTCAGGTGTTATGCAGCCTCATAGGACAATCAGGGTAGAATGAAAACTCCTCCTACAAGCTTTAACCAGTGTTCTGCTGGACACTGATAGAAATCACCAGACTGTTCTAACTGCTGATGAGAAAAGGTATATAGCAGTTTATGTTTACTAAAATATTTGCATTATCATGTTCTGTGTACTGTGGAAGATCAGATATAGTGAATGCAGAATCAGGGGTTTAGGAACACTTTAAGTGTGGAATTTCCTGGCTTTCTGTATCCCTGGGTATACATGTAAACAGGAACCTTTTCAAACTAAAACACATATGGTTAATACTTTGTTTCACAGTCATCGCCTGCACATGGATAATAAAGTTATATTAGCCCTTTCAAAGATATCTACATGCACTGTTTAAATAATCAAATTCACACACTACAGTATATGCACAGTATGAAAAACAAAATGTCAACATACACAACTCAGTCAAGTTAAAATAAATAAAAATTATAAACCACTGCACAACCTGGTGCTTAAAAAGCCCACAAAACCTAAAACAAAACGTCATCTAATGGAAAGAGATACGGATACCAATCAACAAATACCCAATACTGGGGATGGATAAAACGTACTCTTTTTAAACATTTATGTACCTTTTCTGTACAGCCTACTGTTCTCTGTTGGCTGCCATTCAACATGACATTACTATGGGATTGCTAAACAGAAAGTCACCTGTGTGTTGTAAAATATCACTCCCCTTTACACTGCCTATATTTTAAAGATATCTAGCCCCGATGAGCTGTTAAAATATTTAAAATGTTTAGCATCAATATTATCATCATCATCATCAAAAATACTGATTGCAATAAGCAGCCACGAAGGCTGTGCAAATTGACATTTAGGCTATCATTTACGGAGGTTAAAATCAGTGCAGTACAAGGCACACATTTCCCATTGGGCTTATGATACAGGTGCTCTTTAATACAGTTACAAGGCAACAGTCACCTCCTAGTCTGGACAGGTCTAGGCTACAAGAAGCAGAATCAGCAATTTTACGGTTATGTATAAGATGTAAAAAACATCTATGATTTTGGCAAAGGCATTAGCGGTTGGCACTTCTGCCCTGCAACACTGGGGTACTCGGTTCAAATCCCAGCCAGAATACTAGATTCATGCAGTCTGCATGCTCTCTTAGTGCTTGTGTGGGATTCCTCCGCGTACCCTGGTTTCTTCCAAAGACAAGCTGGTAGAATAAATTGCCTCCCATCTAAATTGGCCATAGTATGTGCATATATATGTGTGAGATAGGGACCTTTGATTGCAAGCACTTTGAGAGGCAGGGACTGATGTGAATGTACAGTATGTAAAGTACTGTATAAATTGTTAGCACAATATGAATACCTGGGGGACAGGGGAACATTTCTTTTCTTAATATGTGAGTCATTACCTGCTACTCTGGACAAAGTGATAATAGTTATCTTCTGATATGTCCTCTGCAGGGCTCACTTGTTTCTGTACCCGCCCATGAGGTACAACCCTCCCAGCTGCCCCACTCATTGATAGAGGCTGTGCCTCCACTGAGTTTCTGGCACAGCAAATGCATTATGGCTTGTGCAAGAGTAACCCCAGGTACTCCTGGCCCTGGATTTGTAAGGCGGGAAAAAGAGAGCGGTCACAACAGGGTATATAATCTTGAATACTGCTTATCTGCCTCCAAAACTAGCCAGTGTACAGATGACAGGTACACTATATATTACAGCCCCCCAAATGACAGGAGTCTATTGAGTTTGTCCTTGTGAACCCTCTATGTGATGCATTGTTTTTTAAGGTCCAGCAAACTCTTATTTTATAGTAAAAATCAAAGGAAGCCCTCAAAAGAGGATGTACACATTGACATAACAAATATTATTTTTCAAAACCGTTATTCGTTTCTGTTTTAACTAGAAGCATCAGGCAATAGTAGAGAGCATACCTGGCCATGCTGGGAGTCTACATATCCCAGCATGCTCCAGGGCACAAGGATGTGACGGAAAATGGAGTTGGTACAGATCATACAACGTAGTGGCTGGTATCTGCAATAATATCCACAAGGTGATCATGACGATTGATACAAATGCAACGGATGTCAGGTATACTGAGCTCTCCCGGCTTCAGGCTGATAATAAAGTGGCTGATTCCTGTATTGGGACTGACAGAGAGTTCTCGTGATTTCTTTAGGTCAGGAGGAAATGTAAAATGAAGATCCTCAACAAAGTACTTTATCCAGTTTCTCATGTACGCCCCATGGCTCACCAATAGGATGTTAGCGTCCACTGTGACATCACCGCTATCAGGGGAATCAGGTGTACTCTCACTATCTTGGTTAGCGAAGGGGGAAAGATCAAAATTTACCATCCTTTCTCTGCCTGAAGCACCGAGTCCCGACTGGTCTGTGGCGCTTGCTTCATCCAATACCAGCTGGCAGAGAAACTCAAAGAATTCTTTGATGGCACGTGCTCTAACCTGGTGAAGAAATTCATTATACTGTTAACCACAAAAAGTTAGAGCACAAGAAGACAGATTAATCAATAGGGTCAGTTTACTTCATTATAACACATGCAGTATTTGCATTTCCTTTCCAATGGTTTTCTCTTTAACTTCAATTCACTGAAAATGATTTTAGGAAGAAAAAAAACAAGCTGCTAGCAGGCATACAGTGAAGGCACCTAGAGTATATACTCCCAGCAGGAACTATGACATGCTGCCTCACAGGCCTATAGGAATGCCATGGAGCTGGGAGAGGACAGGCAGGCTCATGGGACAATGAAAACTGCTTTAGGTAAGTGCAAGCACCCCAGGTTGCCTTTATTTTATCAAGGGCAGAGGGGAGAGACAGCACAAACTCTTTAGTGTATTAAACCCCACACACTTTTACCACTTCCTGTCTGGCCATTGTATATAAACAGCCGGATGGTGGCAGTGCAGGGGCAGGTGGCCGTTTATAAATGGCCTCCCTGCCCCCTGCTTGTGCGCGCTCCCTGGGAGTGCGCAGCACCGTGATCTGGTGCCCACTGTGTCCAGAGGACACAGTGGAACACCGAATGTCGTACGGGACCTCTGTGCGAGGTCACGATCATGTGATCACTTGTGACATCATTGCTTACTACGTGTGAAATCTGTGAATGATCACAGAGATCACATGGTACAAGGCTATTCACAACAGTCTTGTACCATGTGACAAGCTGTGACCAATCACAGCTCACACAGTACTTCTCAATGGATGCAAGAATGCAGTCAGAGAGGAGAAATTATTGCTTTTACAACCTTTATGGGTGTAAAAACAATCAGTGTAAAAAAAAATAAAAAATCTTCATCACTCCCCACAAGTAGTATGGTGCACCATGGTGACACTGTACTGCTAGGGTGACAGTATGTAAAAAAAAAAACAAAAAAAAAACAAAAACCCTTAAACAATAATATAACAAAAATTAAATAAAAATGGAAATTTTTTTAAAAAAATTATAATTTTTGGTTATAAACTAAATTGGGTTTTTTTTTTTACTAAAAAAAAGTGGTGAAAGTGTCTGGACTAGAAGTGGTTAATAAAAGCAGATAAAACATACTGAAAAAAGGTAAAGCAGAAATCACATTCATCAAAAGAGATGAGGACAACCGCTGCATCAAAGTTAGTTCCAGGGATCAGGATGGATGGACTGGCTGCGGGTGAAGCTTCTCAAGCAAACAAATTCCTAAAGGATGGATGGTAAGATGAGCTGTGGCTCACACAGCATCCGGATCCTGTGTGAACGGCTGGTGAAAGTGAAGCTGCATTGGCTGGCTGGCTTCCTTACCCCCGTTTGGCTTCCTCACTCCCAGTGACAGCTAACAATGGGAGCTGCTACCCTCAGATTAACAATGTCACAGAATGCATAACACAATCTTCCAAAGATGACCCAAAATGGGCTACCCACTCAGTGTAAACAGCCCCCCACAAACAAAACAAAATTTTGTCCTTCTCTCTTGTTATGCATGCGATTTCTGCTTTACCTTTGTAACTAGGTTTTATCTGCTTTTATTAACCACTTGCCTACCGGGCACTTATACCCCCTTCCTGCCCAGGCCAATTTCCAGCTTTCAGTGCTGTCACATTTGAATGACAATTGCGCGGTCATGCAACACTGTACCCATACAAAATTTTTATCACTTTTTTGTGACAGACAGAGCTTTATTTTGGTGGTATTTAATCACCTTTGGGTTTTTTATTTTTTCTTAAATAAACCAAAAACCACTGAAAATTAATTTTCTTAGTTTTTGTTATAACATTTTGTAAATAAGTGATTTTTCTCCTTCACTGATGTGCGCTAATGAGGCTGTAGTGATGGGCACTGATAGGCTGCACTGCACTGACGGACACTGATAGGTGGCACTGATGGGCATTGACAGGCATCACTGATGGGCACTGAAAGGCAGCACTCATATATGGGCACTGATAGGCAGCACTGACTGGCATTGATAGGTGGCACTGATGGGTGACCCTGAAAGGCAGCTCAGATGGGCACTGATATGTGGCATTGATGTGCACTGGTAGGCACTGATATGTGGCATTGATGTTAGCACTGATGGGCACTGGCAGGTGGCACTGATAAACACTGACAGCTGGCATTGATGGACACTGACAGGTGGCACTGCTGGGGCTACACAAATCATCAGGGCACACTGATCATCAGTGCCCTGATGATTAGTGTACATGTCCCCTCCAAGGAATGCCGATTACCGGCTCTCCTCTCCTCTCGAGCTGTCAGCGTGACAGCTCGTGAGGAGAGAAATGCCGATAACCGGCATTTCCCTATTTACATGAGATCAACTGTGATTGGACACAGTTGATCACATGACCAAGCCGACATCTTCAGCTCTTTCCGTTGATTGGTGATCCGGTGTGTCCAAGGGACACAGCGCACCACCGATCGCCACGCTGCACGCTCCCTGAGCCGTGCATGCGTGGTTAGAATGGGATTATGTCATATAACGTCTTCCCAGAACAAGAGAACCACCTGGCGCCCGTCATTGTACTATATGGCAGGAGGTGGTTAAACGGTGTGGAGTTTACTACATTAGAGAGTTTGCGCTGTCTCTCCCCTCTGCCATTTGTGTTGTTTTTCCACTGGTGGCGTCACTGCACTCCTTTTTGTGGTAGGACTATCTGCTTACATTCAATAGATAATTTTAATGTCTTGTCATTTTGTATTAGCGTTGTTACCTTCTTTTTTTTAAATTCACTTTAGCTATCACTTATTTTTACCATTGATTTTAGCCCAGGGAGTCTGTTAGCCAAATGCCAGCTCTTGGCGTAAGGCACTTCTAATTTTCTGCCTTTACTTTATACCTGCTAGCTTCTTTTTTTAATGCGATTTAATTTCATAGCACTACAAAGGAGGGTTGATTTACTAAAGAAGTCTGATCGCTTTGGAAAGTGATTAATGATTATTTCATTCTTACTCTATGTAATTTTAAATACACAAGGTCTGCAGCATAACTGGTTGCTGCTCCACAATGCTGCTGAATATTGCTGTGCTTTTTCACTGCTCCCAGTGTGCAGACTTCACCTGCGCAGTTTTTAATGGTCACAGGAATCACATTGTTTCCTCTCTTCCAGAAAAATCCCAGCATGTCTTGAGTCCTTATAATATGTACTGTTATTCCTCCAAGGTAAATATATCCTCATTTGCTAACATTGTTTCCATGTGTATAATTTTTACCACTCCTTTGCCACGCTATAAATTTTTCTTTCCTTCAATATCTGCACCAGTATGACGATTTTTCACACCATTTGTTTGATATTATTTCCAGTGATCTTATGCTTTGTACCACGGTTTCCAAGACACACACACACACACACACACACACACACACACACACACACACACACACACACACACACACACACACACACACACACACACACACACACACACACACACACACACACACACACACACACACACACACACACACACGCTATAAAGAGACTACACACCCCTGTTAAAATGTCAGGTTTCTGTGATGTAAAAAAATTGAGACAAAGATAAATCACTTCAGAACTCTTTTCACCTTTAATGCGACCTATAAACTGTACAACTCAATTGAAAAACAAACTGAAATCTTTTGGGGGGGGGGGGGGTAAACATACAAAACTAAAATAATGTGGTTGCATAAGTCTGCACACCCTCTTATAACTGGGGATATAGCTGTGTTCAGAATAAAGCAATCACATTCAAAATCATGTTACATAGGAGTCAGTACACACCTGCCAACATTTAGAGTGCCTCTGATTAACCCCAAATAAAGTTCAGCTGTTCTAGTTGGGTCTTTCCTGACATTTTCTTAGTCGCATCCTACAGCAAAAGCCATGGTCCGCAGAGAGCTTCCAAAGCATCAGAGGGATCTCATTGTTAAAAGGTATCAGTCAGGAGAAGGGTACAAAAGAGTTTCCAAGGCATTAGATATACCATGGAACACAGTGAAGACACTCATCATCAAGTGGAGAAAATATGGCGCAATAGTGACATTACCAAGAACTGGACGTCCCTCCAAAATTGATGAAAAGAACAAGAAGAAAACTGGTCTGGGAGGCTGCCAAGAGGCCTACAGCAACATTAAAGGAGCTATAAGAATATCTGGCAAGTATTGGCTGTGTGGTACATGTAACAACAATCTCCCGTATTCTTCATATGTCTGGGCTATGGGGTAGAGTGGCAAGACGGAAGCCTTTTCTTAGAAAGAAAAACATCCAAGCCCGGCTAAATTTTGCAAAAACACATCTGAAGTCTCCCAAAAGCATGTGGGAAAATGTGTTTTGATCTGATGAAACCAAGGTTGAACTTTTTGGCCATGATTTCAAAAGATATGTTTGGCGCAAAAACAACAACACCAAAAGAACACCATACCCACAGTGAAGCATGGTGGTGGCAGCATCATGCTTTAGGGCTGTTTTTCTTCAGCTGGAACTGGGGCCTTAATCAAGGTAGAGGGATTTATGAACAGTTCCAAATACCAGTCAATATTAGCACAAAACATTCACTATTAAAAAAGTTGGACTATTAAAAAAAAAACAAATTAATAGGGGCTGCTGCTAGAATTAAAATTGTGTTCCCACAACAAAAACATAAAATTACTTAAATAAAATAAATGCTGTACTGCTAATATAGAATATGACTCATAAATGTAATATAGTGAAATAAAACATACATAAATCATAACAATAAAAAAGCAAGTCCATGTAAATGTGAAATCAACAATAGTGATTCATTATTAGAATTCTTCACAGCTTAGTATGCTTCTTCATGTGCTCTTAAACCAACACCATCAAATGAATTACTGTAAAACATGCAGGTCACCACAGTGCTCACAGAACTCTCACCTCAGAGCAATTATACTGCACTTTATATAATAACAAGCAGGCAAACGGTTCTTCCACTCTCCCGATCATCAACCATATATAAGTTGATAAACACCTTTTTTCTTTTCAATAAAACACCAAGCCACAGAAAGGACAGGTCCCTTTAAGGTGGCTGGAGGTTAAGGATTCCTACCCTTATGCAGGGGGAACAAAATACACTCCAATGATGCAGTAAGTACTAACAAATTTGCTTTATCAAAAAGTAATACACTCACATGTATAAGCAAATAAAAACTCCATAAAAATAGGTTAGGAATCAGCGGATCCAGGCTACGCTTCCGTATAACGTCACTTCAGGTTCACATTTGTCCAAGGCCACGCCCTTACACGTTATGCCACACCCACGTGACATCTCCTGTCAGAGGACAGGAGATGCCCTCGCAATCTGACAGATTTGGAGTGTTTTTGCAAGGAAGAGTGGGTAAATATTTCCAAGTCAAGATGTGCCATGCTGATAGACTCATACCCAAAAAGACTGAGTGCTAGAATCAAATCAAAAGGTGCTTCAACAAAGTATTAGCTCAAGGGTGTGCACACTTATGCAACCATATTATTTTAGTTTTTTATTTCCCTTTACCTAAAAGATTTCATTTTGTTGTTTAACTGAGTTGTACAGTTTATAGGTTACATTAAAAGGTGGAAAAAGTTCTGAAATTATTTATCTTTGTCTCATTTTTTCAAATCACAGAAACCTGACATTTTAACAGGGGTGTGTACATATACACACACACATACATACACACACATTTTTTTAGACTTATTATGAGAAGCTTGATAGCCATCTTGGCCTAAACATTCTATTTAAAGGCACACTAAACATGGAATTAGGCCCTAATGCTACCATATTTTTCTGAGTATTATTATAGTAAATAGGTTAAATGTGCTTCTCTTGTATAGTGATACATTTCTTATGTTGCTCCAATAATTTATGAATGTTATGATATTTTATGAACCATTTGAATAGCAAGAAATATACAGCAAAATCAGGGTGGATTTGATTTAAATCAAACTGATTTAAATCACGATTTAAATCACTAGTCAGTAAGGCTTGATTTAAATCCTAGTTTTCTACATAAAGACTAATTCTTGCTGGTATAACTTTAATATACAAGTAGATGAAGATTTTTAGAATAACAACTTTTCATATTAGTTTTTTTAATCCCCAGTTTAATAGGTTAATCATTCATATTTGGACAACTTTTCTGTTGTACTTAGGAAGGAGAAAAATAATAACAATTTAAATAGATTTAACTGAAACAATAACATTCCAGCATATGTTATTTGCTTAAACAAACATCCATGTTTGTTAACTAATTTGGCTAAACAAAATATATATATTTTAGGAAACGTAGACTGTCAGCCCCTTCCTCCTCACACTTAGTTTCACTTTCTTCTTGTGCAGATCTATTCCACTACAAACAATCAGAAAAATATTGTTTCTATTCTATTCACTGAACTTCTTGAAACTTAGCACTGAAGGGGTTGATTCTGTATTCATAGGTTTGTAGAAGTTAGGATTAAGGTCTTTTTCTTAAATCTGTTCATGTTATAACATTTTTGCTGTGAAGAAGAGGCATGTGATCTCCGCTGAGTCAAATTCAGTTTTGAGAACTGCAAAAGTAAACCAAGCAACTGTGATAATATCTTGTAGGCAGAGAGAAACTGCCCAATAATCTTACAAAAACCTCTGGAAGAGCATGACATTGTGAATGGATTCATGGAATTTATTTACCAAAAAAATTAAACATATAAAAAATATTCCATATTTCATGATGGAATAACCTTTGGATGGTAAAATATTTTCCTCAAAAAAGCATTTTATTTAAAAAAAAATCAGATTTAAATAAAAAAAAATCCGATTTTTTTGATTTTTTTTTTTAAAAAAATCATTGATTTTTATCCACCCTGAGCAAAATTAAATTTTTTTTTTTTTTTTTTACTATTTTAGGCCAGTTTTCCTTTGGTAATAAAATCAGGAGATATCTATTGCCATGTACCACCAAATGAAAGCACAATTTGTCCTGAAAACAAGGTATAATCCACCTGGATGCACAAAAAAGTTGTTACGATATGCACAAATTTGCTAACACATGTCAAAGCTCAAAAATTGTGCTTAGGCGATAAGATTTGTTTTACCCTTAGGCACAAAGGGGTTAATCATTTCTTAATGTTAGTAATGTAGCATAGTGTGATTATGACTCAACTTTTCAATAACCTTTGATCTAATTTACAATTATAGTTAAAACAAGTATCTTTATACCTATTAATATTATTTATAAAAACAGTCCTTTCTCATCATCCTTATGATCACTTTGTTTATTTCTATCAAATTTCAGCCCTTAATGAAGGGGGTGGCATTTGACCCCCGAAACCCACTGGCTTCTAGACACCAATTATACTTGGAATACATTTTGGTTTTCTTGGTGTGGCACTTCCATTTCAGAGACATATGATATATTACCTGGTCCAAGGTCTCTCCCCCTGGAGGGGTGTATGAAGGACACTGCTCCCCCGACTTCTTTGCCATAGTTTTCAGCTCACCTAGAGGTCTTCCCTCCGCTATACCATATTTCTGAAACAGATGAAAGTAAAACAACAGCAAATGTTATACTTCATTAAAAAAAATTTTTACACACACATATACACACACACACACACACACACACACACACACAAAATTACATTTTGGAAAATATGTATCTTTTCAGTCAAGTAAATATGAAATATTAATGTACGAACATCATGTAGTCTACTATCCAACCAGCCATGTTTTCCAGTTTCTCCCCACCTCACCAATTTAGATACAAAAGTGAAACTACCAGAGCAATGTTCCTACCCTTTCAGCAAGCTGTTCTAGGTGCCACAGAGAAACGGAAAGACGATAATTACAGCTGTGCTGTGTCTTTAGATAACCTATAGTGCTCCAGAAACCCTTTCTCATGTATTGCATCAAAGAACATACAGCATAGCAATATAGAGAGAGAAAAAAAAGATATAAAATAAATGTAGAAAGTGAAAAAGTAACATTGACTGAACACCACTGTTTTCCTTTAAAGAAAATCTATTATATAAATCACATTTTCATGTAGTCTGGTTTGACACCCTTCATGACACCATGCTCACCCTCTCCCGTAGTCTGGGGTCATAGTTAATTTCAATGCCCATGCTCGCTGTGAAGGTTATTCTTCATGATGGTACAAGCGGTCTGTGAGAGAAAATAAAACGTAATACTCTTCTAATATAATAAACCTTTGCAATTAAATTATTTTAGTACACCATGCCAAACATAAAACATCATTTTAACGTGAAAGTGTCAGGGTAAAGGCAACTGCTCTACTAAATAAAGCCTTGTACACATGGGTCCAACATCAGCCAATACTGGCCGGTTCAACCCATGTGTACAACTGTCTGTTTTCTACAAAAGTAAGCCTCATTACCTGCTTCTGTCAAATGAGCATGCTGGAAAACCAGTGTCCGATAAGCACTGGAAACCAATGGCTGGGAGAGCTGATTAGTGAGTTCTGGCAAGGGGGTGGTCCCCCTGTCAGAACACAAAGGCTCAACAGGGGAAGCCGCACTAACATTGCTTTCATTTAGCCCTTCAGGCAACTTCAGTCACAGAGGCAACAGCTAAGTGGCACCAACGATTTGCTCTCTTTGAAGCTCAGCAAGCTCTGACATGACTCCGTATTACTAGCAGTGCATGCAGTGAATGAAAAGTGAGGCTTCCCATTGTTAGCTAGGTGTCATCACACAGCGGAAAGCAAAAGAATATTGCATCGCTTCCACTTTCGACGCAAAACTTGCCATCACTTACACATCTGCAAATCATGTAGTATTTCCATTTTTTTTTTTTTAGAGAAAAAGGAGAGAAGCGCCTCTAAGTGCAATAAGTCTTTTAATTCAAGTCTAAATGTAGAAACACTCACATGTGTGAAGTAATCATAAGCTCATGATTACTTCACACATATGAGTGTTTCTACATTTAGACTTGAATAAAAAGACTTATTGCACTTAGAGGCGCTTCTCTCCTTTTTCTCATCTACAGAAGTTGCTACAGCTTATTTGGAAGCCTTGCCCTCAGTGCCACACGGAATCCTACGCTCTTCATACAGTAGCCACTAATACCACCATCACCCCATACTACCATTTCCCAGGACTTTGCAGTGTTTGCGCTGTTACAACCCTTCCTCATTTTTTCCATTTTTTTTGTCTAACCCCTGAATATATGTGTGTCCCTGTTCTGAACAACATATATTAGCTACTCCTCTGCATATCCGAGGTTTAGGAATAATATCAGGTGGATAAGTTAATATAAATCTAAACAAATAAAATAGTTTATATTTTATTATAGTTTAGTTTAAGTCACTGGTTTTGTTTCATGTACCTTCATTTTTCTCTTTTATTTATTGAATGGATTTTTATAATTAGCAGGAATCTTATAGATTATGTTGTGCTGGCAGGAACCAATAGTTTGCGGTTCTGCACAATTATTTGCCAGCTCTGCGCGGCACTGTACAGGACTTGTACAAACTTCCATGTCTGTAATGTATATGGCAAAATAAGTTCAGCCATCTGAAGTGTAAAATCAAAGACAGAGACAGGGTAAATGAAAGCCCAGTTTGATTTTTTTACTACAGATGTTTATTCAAGTATTGCTTAATATACCGTACATTCATGTCAGTATCTGCCCTCAAGGAGCTTACAGTCTAATGTTCTTATCTCACATACATACACACATGCACATGCTAGGGACAGTCTAGACCAGGAGTAGGCAACCTTAAAGAGGTAGAGATCTACCAAAACATGGGAGAAATCAAAAGATCAACGTGCACAGTGTCACCTCCTCACACCCGATTTAAATTTCTAATTGCCGTACTACAGTAGTACAGTGTTGCAATCATGTGCATTGCATGGCAACCATGGGTTTAAATCAGGTGGTGAGGAGGCAAAAAAATCACCTCTTCACCACCTGTCAAACACACTCAGATCGCTTTTCCCCCCCTGCAGGGTCCAAGTGGGTTACAGTGAGGAACAGAAGTATTTGAACACCCTGCGATTTTGCAAGTTCTCCCACTTAGAAATCATGGAGGGGTCTGAAATTCACATTGTAGGTGCATTCCCACTGTGAGAGACAGAATTAAAAAAAAAAAAAAAATTCAGGAAAATTACATTGTATGATTTTTAAAGAATTTATTTGTCTTGCACTGCTGAACATAAGTATTTGAACTCTTAAGAAACAGCAAGAATTCTGGCTCTCAAAGACCTGTTACTGTGCCTTTAAAAAGTCCACCTCTACTCCACTCATTAATCTAACTTAGTAACACCTGTCTGAGCACTTTAAAGACATCTGTCCACCCCACAGTCAGTCAGACGCCAACTACTACCATGGGCAAGACCAAAGAGCTGTCAAAAGACACCAGAGACAAAATTGTGGACCTCCACAAGGCTGGAAAGGGCTACGGGGCAATTGCCAAGCAGCTTGGTGAAAATACATCAACTGTTGGAGCAATTGTTAGAAAATGGAAGAGGCTAAAGACGACTGTCAGTCTCCCTCGGACTGGGGCTCCATGCAAGATCTCACCTCGTGGGGTATCACTGATAAGAAAGGTGAGGAATCAGCCCAGAACTACAAGGGAGGACCTGGTCAATGACATGAAGAGAGCTGGGACCACAGTTTCAAAGGTCACTGTCGGTAGAACACTACGCCGTCATGGTTTCAATCATGCATTGCACGGAAGGTTCCCCTGCTCAAGTCATCTTATGTCCAGGCCCGTCTGAAGTTTGCTAATGACCATCTGGATGATCCAGAGGAGGCATGGGAGAAAGTCATGTGGTCAGATGAGACCAAAGTGAACTTTTTGGTCCAAACTTCACTTGTCGTGTTTGGAGGAAAAAGATGGATGAGTTGCATCTCAAGAACACCATCCCTACTGTGAAGCATGGGGGTGGTAACATCATGCTTTGGGGGTGCTTTTCTGCGAAGGGGACAGGACGACTGCACTGTATTAAGGAGAGGATGAATGGGGCCATTTATTGTAAGATTTTGAGCAACAACCTCCTTCCCTCAGTCAGAGCATTGAAGATGGGTCGTGGCTGGGTCTTCCAATATGACAACGACCCGAAGCACACAGCCAGGATAACCAAGGAGTGACTCCGTAAGAAGCATATCAAGGTTCTGGAGTGGCCTAGCCAGTCTCCAGACCTAAATCCAATGGAACATCTTTGGAGGGAGCTGAAACTCCGTGTTGCTCAGCGACAGCCCCAAAACCTGACAGATCTAGAGGAGATCTATGTGGAGGAGTGGGCCAAAATCCCTGTAGCAGTGTGCGCAAACCTGGTCAAGAACTACAGGAAACGTTTGACCTCTGTAATTGCAAACAAAGGCTTCTGTACCAAATATTAACACTGATTTTCTCAGGTGTTCAAATACTTATGTTCAGCAGTGCAAGACAAATAAATTCTTTAAAAAATCATAAAATGTGATTTCCTGAATTTTTTTTTAAATCTGTCTCTCAGAGTGGGAATACACCTACAATGTGAATTTCAGACCACTCCATGATTTCTAAGTGGGAGAACTTGCAAAATCGCAGGGTGTTCATATACTTCTGTTCCTCACTGTATAGCAGCCGGTGAGAAAGCAACACAATGCTGCCTGCTTTAACCCCTTGTTTGCTGTACTGCACAAGGTTGCAGGGAACTTGTAGAGCAGAATCATTTACTTGAATGGGTCATGCTTGGCAGGTGCTACACCCACCAACCATGACAGGGCGTATAACTCCTGCTGTGGCTGCGACATGTGTACACCCCTGGCTTCTGCAGCTAAAGTGCTGCAAGGCACTAACCACTAAGCCACTGTGTTGCCCAATCCATGTACTCTGTTATGGTTATTATGGCAATAACAGAGGGAGCGGTGAAAAAAAAAAAAAACAAACCCCCCCCCCCCACTACTATATTTAAAGGGAATATGTCGGAATTGGAGCTGTCATTTTTTACTTCAGTTCCTAGTCTGTAATTTTTGCTTGCCGATCTGGACAAAGTGTGAAGCCACTGAAGTCACACGGACATGAGGGCTCAACGTTCCTAACATTTTTGTCCTGACAGGGTCCCTTTAAATGTCCACCGAAGGATAAGAAATGATGTACTTTGCACTGAGGATAGATTTTTCAGTTTTACGTGGCTTTTGACAAGCGATCCAATAAAACTAAATGCTGTCTGACAGGCAGAGATTTGCCCTTGGTGAGTTTACAATATCCTCAGCTGGCAAGTTCAAGAAGGAGGGGTGCTGACAAAGTGGCGGAAGGAGGGAGAAATACACTGGTTGCCTTGGAGACAGGTCGAGAGAAATGCGTCTATTTCTGGGAGTCTGTTTTTGCTTATTTTTTTTTTACTTGAATGCCCACTAAGCAGTGAAAGTTAACCTTGTCATTACCAAGGGTAATTTATGCCTAGCGGCATGCGCAGCCTACAAGAGAAGTGGATTTTAAAGCCAGGACCCTGCAGTCTAGACATTGGACAGCAGCATCCCAATCTGGTAGTTTTTTTTCCAGATCGGTCTATGTGGTAGAACATAATAGAAATAAATGATGGTCCTCGAGATTCAAAGCAGTTGCTATTGGGTGCTGTGTGCAGAACTCCTTCTCTATAGCCCTAAACAAATGCGTTTGTGTATCTACAGCACTCCGGTTTAGGGAGTAAAATGGCACAGGAGCCATCACGGGATGTGTGCACCAACTAATCATTTCTAATGTCTATGGCCAGCTTAAAGTGAATATGTGGCTAGGCCACCTAAAAGCCAAGTCCACCTTTCTGACCTCGTTTCATGTTACACTTATATTTAGCGTGTAACATGAAACATGGTCACAGCCCACAGCCTCCCCCCACTGAATTATGGCATCTTTCTCCACGCAGCATCCTGGGAGTTTTTTTAGTTTGATGCCAACACAACCATGTCATCCATCTTCTCCAGACTCATAATAAAGATCTGAACCAAAGTACAGACCTGGGCCGAAGGAATAGTCTGCAAAAGCCTTTGCACTGCACCTGGACTCAAATGATCTCAGCTACAATGCTTCGAATTCTCCAATGCAATGAAATAATACTTTTTTTAAATCATTGTGGGCACACGTTTTTTTTTGTTTTTTTTTTGCAAAAGGTGGAATTAGCTTTTAAAGTGGATATTCACTGTAACCGATATACAAAAACCTGAAGCACTGCAAAACTTCCCCTTGCAGTCCAAAGCACAGCTCGGGTGGTGACGTTCAAACAAGCTGATCCAGGCTAGCTGGAGCAAATAAGAAGACAGAAAATCCACACACTGGAACCCAGACACTATATAGAGAGGTAAAAATATGGCTTTAGCCTGAATGCCTCCTGGCTATGCTCCTCTGACATGTTTTGCCTGGCCTATAGGGATCAATCATACAGAATAATTAGGCCCCATAAGTGGGGCAAAGCCTGTCAGAGGATCATACCTAGAAGTGCGAGCTGAAGCCGTATATTTACCTATATAGTGGCTGGGTTTTGGTGTTTCTCCTGTCTTCCGGATATTCTCTCTAGTCGCACTTGGTGAACACTCAACAGCTGTATACCACATACACCTTGACAAATGTATAGCTCCATGTTTAGATTCTGTTTGTGAATCAGTTTTCAAGCAATCCACCCTTGAAACTGACGGCTATTATCAATGTCACCATGCATCTTGTGGTGTCACTCAGTCCCCTCACACTCTTTACATCTCAGCAAAGACAAAGCTTTTTAACACAGTTTCCTAGTCAGCAAATGAGCCATGCATGTCTTATTGGTGATAGATGGTTCATTAGAAGCAGAGACTGTCATGTGCCCGCCTACCACTTTGTGAGCTCAATTAAAACCTGACCGTGGACTTACATACAGAAAGCTGTAAAAGAAACATAAGTGCATAAATCTATATATACGTGGAATTTGTGGGAGTATTGTTTTCACTTGTCTGCATTGATGGACGCTTGCCATTTGATTTTTTTTTTTTTTTTTTACTGTGGCAGTGTATTTCTACTTTAAAGCAAACTCTTGCTGCTGTAGCTGAAAATCATCCTCAAGGTTCCCAGCAATGGCTCAGCAGCTCAGCTCTCCCTCCCAGAGCTCCTGTCAAGTTTGTTGGCAGGCCCATCTATAAAGTCCGAGTTAAGCAGTGACCAACAATTTAGTTGAATACATTTCCACATTTACAGCATAAACCATGCAAAATGTACCTTAACGTTTTAAACTAAATCCATAGGTCTTTTACACAGTATCTCACAGAAGTGAGTACACCCCTCACATTTGTGCAAATATTTTATTATATCTTTTCATGTGACAACACTGAAGAAATGACACTTTGCTACAATGTAAAGTAGTGAGTGTACAGCTTGTATAACAGTGTAAATTTTCAGTCCCCGCAAAATAACTGAACACGCAGCCATTAATGTCTAAACCGCTGGCAACAAAAGTGAGTACACCCCCCTAAGTGAAAATTTCCAAATTGGGCCCAATTAGCCATTTTCCCTCCCCGGTGTTATGTGACATGTTAGTGTTATAAGGTCTCAGGTGTGAATGGAGAGCAGGTGTGTTAAATTTGGTATTATCACTCTCAATCTCTCATACTGGTCACTGGAAGTTTAACATGGCACCTCATGGCAAAGAACTCTCTGAGGATCTGAAAAAAAAAAAAGAATTGTTGCTCTACGTAAAGATGGCCTAGGCTATAAGAAGATTGCCAAGACCCTGAAACTGAGCTGCAGCACGGTGGACAAGACCATACAGTGGTTTAACAGGACAGGTTCCACTCAGAACAGGCTTCACCATGGTCAACCAAAGAAGTTGAGTGCACGTGCTCAGCGTCATATCCAGAGATTGTCTTTGGGAAATAGACGTATGAGTGCTGCCAGCATTGCTGCAGAGGTTGAAGGGGTGGGGGGTCAGTCTGTCAGTGCTCAGACCATACGCTGCACACTGCATCAAATTGGTCTGCATGGCTGTTGTTCCAGAAGGAAGCCTCTTCTAAAGATGATGTACAAGAAAGCCAGCAAACAGTTTGCTGAAGACAAGCAGACTAAGGACATGGATTACTGGAACCATGTCCTGTGGTCTAATGAGACCAAGATAAACTGATTTGGTTCAGATGGTGTCAAGCGTGTGTGGTGGCAACCAGGTGAGGAGTACAAAGACAAGTGTGTTTTGCATACAGTCACGCATGGTGGTGAGGAGTGTCATGGTCTGGGGCTGCATGAGTGCTGACGGCACTGGGGAGCTACAGCTCATTGAGGGAACCATGAATGCCAACATGTACTGTGACATACTGAAGCAGAGCATGATCCTTTGGAGACTGGGACGCAGGGCAGTATTCCAACATGATAATGACCCCAAACACACCTCCAAGACCACCACTGCCTTGCTAAAGAAGCTGAGCATAAAAGGTGATAGACTGGTCAAGCATGTCTCCATACCTAAACCCTATTGAGCATCTGTTGGGCATCCTCAAATGGAAGGTGGAGGAGCGCAAGGTCTCTAACATCTACCAGCTCCGTGATGTCGTCATGGAGGAGTGGAAGAGGACTCCAGAGGCAACCTCTGAAACTCTGGTGACCTCCATGCCCAAGAGGGTGAAGGCAGTGCTGGAAAATAATGGTGGCTGCACATAATATTGACACTTTGGGCCCAATTTGGACATTTTCATTTAGGGGTGTAGTCACTTTTGTTGCCAGCGGTTTAGACATTAATGGCTGTGTGTTGAGTTATTTTGAGGGGACAGCAACTTTAGACTGTTATACAAGCTGTACACTCACTACTTTACATTGTAGCAAAATGTCATTTGTTCAGTGTTGTCACATGAAAAGATTGAATAAAATATTTACAAAAATGTGAGGGGTGTGTGCTCACTTCTGTGAGATACTGTATATAGAACACAGAAAAGGTTGAAATATATTAGCAAGCCCATAAAAAATGTTAAATAAAATAAAAAAATGAAATTACCTGCTTTGCTCGAATCAAGTCACTGGAGAAGACATGAGTAAATTTCACACTGCTGAGGAATCTGCCAGCAGCATCGGCCTGCTTGAAGCCAATATCAGAGAGAGGCTCATCTACACCCTGCCCTGTAGACATGACATATGGGCTAATTCAATAAAGCAAAGAATGTACAAACTACAGTAGCAATAATCATGTTTCAGTGATCTATTAAATACATTGAAATTGAATTGGTTGCTATGGGTCATTATGCCAGTCAATAGCTTATTATTGCTCCCAGTCTTGGCCCACATCCTCTCATTGCGTGTCACCATGCAATGCACTGGGTATTAGAAAAAACTCCCATAGGCTGGGACCAGGAGCCACAGCAGCTAAATTATATAGCTCAAACTAACTTTCACAGCTTTACAGTTACTTTTCTCTGATCTACCGACTGGATCTTCAAAAAAATGATTGCAGAATACTCTTAGCTTTGTAACACTTTTTACTTGGACCAGTTTTGTAATGCTGAAGATGTTTTGCCACTCATCCAAAATGGCTTTCTTGGTTCTAATGAATTAAAGGACCCCAGAAGTTATATCCACATGTGTAACTCACCTTGAGCCAATCACCATGGAATGTGTCAAGGCAGATGCTGCTTGTCCAAGAACATTATGGGAGGTGTGAGACCATCCTGTTCTTATGTATATAATCATTTCTCACACCACCAATCACAAGTTAGATCTCATGCACATTGGGCATTTGCCCAGCAATTCTGAACGCCTTTCTCCTGGCAGGAGAAAAAAACTGTGTCAAAAGCGCCCTTAAGGCGCATTTCTGTAAACACATTTAGGTGCGCTTAGACATCTCAAGGACTTTGGTGTGAATTAATTAATAATTTATGCTGGCCACTGAAATGAATTAGCGCTCAAGTGCTAAATACTCCTAGCATTAACACGAGTTTAGGTGCATCAAGCATTTTTTCTGTCAAAATGCTACTGCTCCTGAACGCACTGGCAGTGGGGGTTTTTTTTTTTGTCTCTAAACGCCTGTAAATGCCTATGTTTGCATGGACACATATATTAACATTGAGGGGCATTTAGAGGCAGAAACAAAAAGTCAAACACTCCTAAAAGTGGAGTTGTTTTTTTAATTTCATAAACATTTTTTTTTAAAGCTTTTGTAACAAATTAGAAGTTAAGGATAGAATTGCTGGTCCTTTGAAAATGAAATGCTCAGACCGCCAACATATTTAAAGTCAAATTACAATTTGAGAGTACAGTAACTGGTCTATCTATAGAACTGCATCAATGTGGTATTACACTGCACAAGAACCATCAAGTTATATAAAGTGGGTAAAATAAGTATTGAACACTTCTAGGTAAATAGGTTTCTAAAGGTGCTATTGACATGACATTTTCACCTGTCAGTAAGAACCCATGCAATCCAAACATACCAAGAAACCAAAACAAATAAATTCAGAAATTAAGTTATATGTAATAAAATGGAATTGCACAGGGAAACGTATTGAACCCATGAAGAAAGGCAGGTGCAAAAAGGCATGGAAAGCCAAGACACCAGCTGAAAACTATCAGTAATTAGAAAGCAATCCTGCCCCTTGTCAGTGCAAATTAATTTCAGCTGGTTCAGTCTCAACTGATGGCCTATGAAAAAAATGTCTCATTAGAAGAAACATCTCATGATGGGTAAAAGCAAAGAGCTCTCTCAAGACCTTTGCAACCTTATTGTTGCAAAACATGCAGATGGCATTGGATACAGAAGGATTTCTCAATTTCTGAATGTTCCCGTGAGCACTGTTGGGGCCATAATCCGGAAGTGAAAAAAACAGAATTTCACCATAAAATCGGCTACGACCAGGAGCTCCTTGCAAGATTTCTGACAGAGGACGGAAAAGAATTATCAGAAGAGTTGTCCAAGAGCCAAGGACCGCTTGTGGACAGCTTCAGAAAAGCCTGGAATTAGCAGGTACAATTGTTTGAAAGAAGATAATAAGTAATACGCTCAACTGCCATGGTCTGTATGCATGCTCACCACTCAAGACCCTGCTGAAGAAAAAGCATGAGAACACATGACATCTGATTGGCTGCACTCCATACAATCCACTTTATTGAACTAAGATAAAACCAATACAGACAGTGGAAATACAGTGGGGGACTGGCAGGTAAACGTGTTTCACGCTAAAGACAGAGCTTATTCATTACCCCAATGGTAATGAAAAAAATGCTGTCTTTAGCATGAAAAACATTTACCCTGCCAGTCCCCCACTGTATTTCCACTGTCTGTATAGGTGTTATCCTGGTTCATTAAAGTGGATTGTTTGGAGTGCAGCTGATTGGACGTCCTTTGTTCTCATTTATGCAGCACATGAGCTGGGCTAGAACCTAAAGGAGGAGTTATGCTTGGATATTGGGAGTCTCTCTACCTTGAGCAGCGGTAATACATATATGAAGAAAAAGCATGTTGAAGCTCATTTAAGTTTGATGCATAACATTTAGACAAGCCTGTGAAATCCTGGGAGAATATAATCTGGTCAGATGAGAACAAAATTTAACTCTCTGGATGCCATGATACACTCGTTTGGCAGTGAAATGGCACTGCACATCTCCCCAAAATCACCATACCAACAGTGAAGTTTGGAGGTGGGAACATCATGGTCAGTTTTTCAGCATACAGTACTGACAAATTTCATATTATTGAAGGAAAAATGAATGAGGAAATGTACCAAAACATTTTTGACAGAAATCTGCTGCCATCTACCAGGATTATGAAGATGAAGCAAGGATGGACATTTAAGCAAGACAATGATCCCAAACACACAGCTAAGGAAACTCTCAATTGGTTTCAAAGAAAAAAAAATAAAGCTGCTAGAATGGCCTAGCCAATCACCTGACTTGAATTCAATAGAAATCTATGGAAAGAACTAAAGATCAGAGTTCATAGAAGAGGCCCACGTAATCTTCAAGATTTGAAGACAATTTGTGTGGAAGAATGGGCCAAAAATCACACCTGAGCAATGCATGCGACTAGTTTCTCTTTACAGGAGGCATCTTGAAGCTGTCATTACCGACAAAGGATTTTGTAGGATGTATTAACTAAATTTCAGTTACCATGTTAAATACCTTTTCCCCGTGTCATTCCATTTTATTACACATAACTTAATTTCTGAACTTATTTGTTTTGGATTCTTTGTATGTATGGATTGTATGGTTTATTACTGACATTTGGTGAAAATTTCCTGTCAATAACACCTTTAGAAATATATTTATCTAGAAAAACCGGTGATGTGTTCAATAATTTTTACCTGCTGTATGTACATTCCACAGAGGACCCCACATTCACTGGAACATTGGCAATGGAGCAAAAGGACCTGAAGTGGAATACCTAATCAAATTCTTCTGGGGGGTTCCCAGTGAAAACAATAAAGTTACAGGAAAAAGGAGAAATAAAAAAATAAATGAGTCAAAGATAATAATAAAAAAAAAAGGTGGCATTCTTAATGCCCAGTATGAATGAGGCCTAAGGTGTAATCCCGACACTCATTTGACTGATGAAACCACTTACGTGATAAAAGGACTTCAACATTACTAAACAAGTCCAGTAAAATGTGCCTAGTACTAGCTATACCACAACCTGGAGCAATGAAAACCCTCACAGACAGACATAAATGCGGCTGCAGAGCACCCTGGAACCCCCTGAAACCCAAATGCCTTCAGTATGCAGATTTTCCAAAAGTCACAACTGAGGTCCACCCCCATCACATCCCATGATGCCATGTGCAGCCATGAGCAAGCTATCGAGAGGTTCCTCCGAATGTGGGATGAGGCATTGGGCAAGTGGGCAAGCCTCAGTGCAGACCTTTGTAAACTGCAGGTCACAGATCTCAAGGGGCGTTCTTCAACTGCATTTTGAAAGATGAGCCCTTTGGATTGACATTGGGTGGTGCTTAGTATCTGCTGGATAAGCTACTTTGCTATGTGGGCACTGGCGACAGGTACTCTTTGTTAAGCTTTGTTTGCTGAACAATAGGAAAAAAAAAATTCTTACCCTGTAGTAGCTTTTCTTTGTTGTAGCGTGTCTCCCCACTGCATGGATGAAAGAGAGTTTATTAAATTTGCATAGCTGAACATTCCACAGATACACACATGAAACAGTAGAGAAAACAAAAATAGTATAAAATACACATTTTGAAGTCTACTCTGGAGGACACATATCCTTTTCTCGTCAACACCCTCATATGCTCCAAAATGTTCTGTGCTATAGGAGTAAAAAGATGCTGGTCACCAGCCAGCTTGTACAGGGAGGTTGGATGACTAAATGAAGTATTGAGACATGCCCTCCATCTCCACCACGATACCTGTCCCTTCTGTGCACTACTTGTGATTTGTTCCTTAGCCTGTGAAAATAGTCGCCTACGGATGGAGACCTTGTGCACCAGCACATCGGGTACTGCCACTTAGATGGTGCATGCACAATGCCAGCAATGTGGAATGAACACTCCAGCACCAGTACTGAAGGAAGCCAAAATCGTCAGGCAGAGTGATCTCCACCCGGCAGTAGAAACCAGAGTACCAGATGAAAAAATGGAATTTAAGACTGTGCTGTGCTGACCACATGTACTCTCCCAAGAAAAAAAAAGTAGATGGATTGGGGACATTAGAAGAAGGGTAGGTTTAGAGAACACAGGATCAAACGTCCATTTTACATAATGTGGACAAATAACTTCTTTGGTTCCACAGTGAGTATAGCAAGTGGGGACACTATAGAAGTATGATACTCACCCCAGAACTCTGTTTCCCAATCAGTGACGTAAGGGTCACAAAAAAGAATTAAGCTGGCCGTACTTGGAATGAAATTCGGCCAATCTCTGCTGATCCAGCCAAATTTCGATCCAAGTATGGGCACTGTGGTTGAATAGAAATCAATCTACCAATCAACTTCTGTTCAGCCAGCCTCTTGGGAAATTTTAACTCAATCACTGCTGCAGGCTATAGCCTGTAGCTCTGATCAGTGTATTCTGACAGCAGGGAAGTCTTCCCACTGTCAGAATACAAAGTACAAAGGCATAGAGGGGGAGGATTTCCCTATCCACATCCAGTGTGTGGATGGGGAATCAAGTCAGTTCAAGGGATTGAACAAAAAGACCCCCAAAAACCGGACTCATCTATGGCCAGCCTTACAGCCTGCAGTCAGAGACACAGGCAGCTAACACTACTGGAAGAGTCTGCAGTGCTAGGAGGAACGAGCCGCCAGAGAGGCAAGTATGGAGTGATGATTAATTAACCTCCTTAGCAGTATGATTATATCCATATTTCTGTGCTCAAAGCGGTACTTTTTTTTTTTGCATGGAAATATGTCGTTTTTTTATTGTAGGCCTGTAATTTTTATGAATAACTCACTGAAATCTGTCCGAACAAGAGTCTAGTAAACATCCCGGGTATGATAACATTTGAAACACGAAATCATAAATTATAATATAATAAGTAATCATAAAAAATAAGAATATAATAATAATAAATTTAATTCAATAATGTGATCAAACTAAAAACACTGAAATTTGAAATATAGCGCCAAGTTTGCACATCACTGAGCAAAGTCGCAAAATCGTTTTCAGTGTCCGATGAGGAATTTCCCCACGAATCATTGTCACTCAATTCTGCAAGTGGTTCTAATTTACTATCGCTGTTCTCTAGTTGGTCTAAAATTGCTTTCGACCTAAAGGGACGCTTTTTGGACACCATGGACGTTTCTGTTTCCAGACAGAAAGAACAGTAAAAATGCAGGCAGGGCACAGGACAAAGCACTCGGGACAAAATGTATGTGAAATGGTTTGATACAGTAATGTTATACTATGTGATTTTAGTGTATTGAGTGAAAGTCACTTTTAAAATTTTTGAATTTCCCGCCATCCCAACACTCGCAGGGACCGGAACCCAGAAGACGGATGCCGGCATCGGCGGGAAGAGATGGCCGGGGACACCGCAGAGAGGACATCGTGGGGAGAGCGCAGGACAAGGTAAGTGAAACAGGGATCCTGGAGCAACGCTGCATGGTAAACCCTGGTGTAGCTCGGGGGTACCACTTTTGGTACTGAAAGTTTACCCCGAGCTACACTCGGGAATACCACCAGGGAGGTTAAAGAAGTTTAAGATCTTCACTTAACTAAAGCTGAAGTTAAAGTAAAGTCTAGGTATGGCTTTTTTGCATTATTACATTGGTCAAGATTGTATCAGTGTAAGTATGCATATTCCATACCTGGCCAACCCTGTTCAAGCTAGAAATCATTCAAATAGGCCCTGCTACTACAGCGATCTCCACTTCAGGGTCCCATGCTGCCTGATGAACATAGGGGGAGTCACTCGTTCAGCACAGGTGCCATTCACAGAATGCCTTGTGTAATTCTCAATTAATGCAAAGCATTTTCTGATTGGAGGAAGTGGAGATAATGACATCATCACCCTGCCTCTCCATTTTGTTCAGAGAACATTTTGAATTTATTAAGAAAATGCAAAGTGTTCTCTGAATTGCCCTATGCTGGCTGTGTGCATCCTCCTGTGTGCACTTCGCAGCTGCTTGACACAGGACTTGCAAGTTACCACCAACCACTGTAGAAGAGGTGCCTAGTACAGTGATCACCAGCTTCCATGGGGTCACACAGATATGAAACATACATATTTCCATTGGTCCAGGCTGGTCCAATACAACTATGTAAAAAGTGCCACACTAAACTTCAGCTTTACTTGTTCAGTCTGGTGCACATGATTAGGTATTCAGAGTGAGCACGGCTACAATTACCAAGGACCGGTTCACACCAGAATGTGGCGCAAATCCCACATTGTTAATGGAGATCGCAAATGCAGTGTGGTTATCACATAGTACTGCAGTACCATGCGATTTGGTGTGGTGTGTTTTTCAAAAATAGTCCATGTACTATTCCGGTGCGATTTGCATCCCATTCACAAATAAGCTGCCAGAATGTACTGCAGGGGAGTACACAGGAATTACACAGTAACGAGGACCGCATTCTTGTGCGATTCTGAAGTGAACCAGACCTAAGTGAAGATTCTGAACTCAATTTGCCTTCATACCAAAATGCGGTTTGGGAAAGGTGCATTCTGTGCCAGGGTGGATTTGATTTAAATCAAACTGATTTAAATCACGATTTAAATCACTAGTCAGTAAGGCTTGATTTAAATCATAGTTTTCTACATAAAGACTAATTCTTGCTGGTATAACTTTAATATGCAAGTAGATGAAGATTTTTAGAATAACAACTTTTCATATTAGTTTTTTTAATCCCCAGTTTAATAGGTTAATCATTCATATTTGGACAACTTTTCTGTTGTACTTAGGAAGGAGAAAAATAATCATTCCCTTAATAATAACAATTTAAATAGATTTATTCAACTGAAACAATAACATTCCAGCATATGTTATTTGCTTAAACAAACATCCATGTTTGGTAACTAATTTGGCTAAACAAAATATATATATTTTTAAGAAACTTAGACTGTCAGCCCCTTCCTCCTCACACTTAGTTTCACTTTCTTCTTGTGCAGATCTATTCCACTCCAAACAATCAGAAAATATTGTTTCTATTCTATTCACTGAACTTCTTGAAACTTAGCACTGAAGGGGTTGATTCTGTATTCATAGGTTTGTAGAAGTTAGGATTAAGGTCGTTTTCTTAACTCTGTTCATGTTATAACATTTTTGCTGTGAAGAAGAGGCATGTGATCTCCGCTGAGTCAAATTCAGTTTTGAGAACTGCAAAAGTAAACCAACATCTGTGATAAATATCTTGTAGGCAGAGAAACTGCCCAATAATCTTACAAAAACCTCTGGAAGAGCATGACATTGTGAATGGATTCATGGAATTTATTTACCAAAAAAATTAAACATATACAGCCTTATTCTACATAATTAAAAAACTAATCTTTATTTCATGATGGAATAACCTTTGGATGGTAATATATTTTACTCAAAAAGCATTTTATTTAAAAAAATCCGATTTAAATAAAAAAAACCCCCGATTTTTTTGATTTTTTAAAAAAAAATCATTGATTTTTATCCACCCTGTTCTGTGCGCATGTAGCCCTTGAGATTCACACGCAGGTGCCAAAGAATTGTTAATAGCACCTCAAACACATCTCACAAACAGTAAAACAAGGTAAACAACGAGAGCTAGGTAACAAGCTGCTTGCATCAAGGTGAAACCTCTAACCCTCTGAATATACAGTCAGGTCCATAAATATTGGGACATCAACACAATTCTAACTTTTTTGGCTCTATACATCACCACAATGGATTTGAAATGAAATGAATAAGATGTGCTTTAACTGCAGACTGTCAGCTTTAATTTGAGGGTATTTACATCCAAATCAGGTGAACGGTGTAGGAATTACAACAGTTTGCATATGTGCCTCCCACTTGTTAAGGGCTCAAAAGTAATGGGACAGAATAATAATCATAAATCAAACTTTCATTTTTTAATACTTGGTTGCAAATCCTTTGCAGTCAATTACAGCCTGAAGTCTGGAACGCATAGACATCACCAGACGCTGGGTTTCATCCCTGGTGATGCTCTGCCAGGCCTCTACTGCAACTGTCTTCAGTTCCTGCTTGTTCTTGGGGCATTTTCCCTTCAGTTTTGTCTTCAGCAAGTGAAATGCATGCTCAATCAGATTTCAGGTCAGGTGATTGACTTGGCCATTGCATAACATTCCACTTCTTTCCCTTAAAAAAAACTCTTTGGTTGCTTTTGCAGTATGCTTTGGGTCATTGTCCATCTGCACTGTGAAGGGGCGTCCAATGAGTTGTGAAGCATTTGGCTGAATATGAGCAGATAATATTCCCAAAACACTTCAGAATTCATCCTGCTGCTTTTGTCAGCAGTCACATCATCAATAAATACAAGAGAACCAGTCCCATTGGCAGCCATACATGCCCACGCTATGACACTACCACCACCATGCTTCACTGACGAGGTGGTATGCTTAGGATCATGAGCAGTTCCTTTCCTTCTCCATAGTCTTCTCTTCCCATCACTCTGGTACAAGTTGATCTTGGTCTCATCTGTCCATAG